GGTCTCACTCTGTTGCCTGGGCTAGAGTACAGTGGTGTCATCAGAGCTCACTGCAACCTCAAAGTCATGGGCTCAAGTGAGTCTCTTGCCTCAGCCTCCAGGATACCTGGTACTACAGGCATGCACCGCTATGCCCAGATAATTTTTCTATTTTTTGTGGAGACTGGGGTCTTGTTCTTGCTTAAGCTGGTCTCAAACTCCCAAGCTTAAACAATTCTCTCACCTCTGCCTCCCCAAGTGCTAGGATTACAGGCATGAGCCATCATGCCCAGCCAACACTGCTTTGATTTAAAATGCAGTTTTGTATAGTTTTAAAATGCAAATTTTAAAATATGGGACATTGTCTAAAATTTTATGCTGAAAGTCTAACAGATACACATATTGATACCATACAATTTACTAAATCTATGTATATCAAGGCTAATTTATGTTAAATACAAAAAATGTGACCCAAGCTTAAGATATTATAAGAACAAAATAAACTATACAGAATACAACTAGTTAGAATATAATGATGTTTGTTGTTCTTTAGGAAGTTGTTTTATCTTTGTTTAAAATAATTTCAAATATTTTTTCTTGAAAGTTAGATTACTCTAAACTGGTATTTGAAGAGTATTAAAGAAACGGTATCCATTTATATGTTTTCCTTCTGATATATAACCATGGTCATCACCAATTTTCCTTAGTATTTGAGCCAGAATGTTAATTAGCTATTTATGCTTTATTTCTAGCTGTTTCCTTAAATTGTGCGTGATATATTTTGTTTTCCTATTTTATGACATGTGTCAGCATCAAGATATGGTGAGTTCTTTTAAAATTAACAACAATAGAAAGTGAACACTAATTTGTTGTAAACCTAACCAACAGAAACAACATTTAGCCCGCAAATGTAACGTGTGCCTTCAAAATACGGAGTGATCGTTCTGGATCAGTAGTTAAATTATTGCTTCAATTGAATCACGTTAGACTTGGAATTTTTATCTTCTGACATTATCCAAAAGAATACTCTACCCAATTTTCAGTCACACAAATAAATACACAAATCTAAGTTAAAGAGCGAAGTTCATGTTTTAAGGAAGGCATTCATCAGGAAAAGGAATAATAAAATCATCTCACTCTTTACCTCCAAGATGTCTAAGCTGGTCGAACACTGACCACTGTTAGTACCATTTGAAGTTCCATTCCTTTACTGTCATCAAACCGGGTTATTTATGTGTCTTCAAGTGAAATGGCTGAGCTTTCACAGTAATTCTTGTTGCTATTGACAACCAAAGCAGCCATGCAGGAAGAAAATCCTGTGAAGGGGAAGAAACAAAACAAAACAAAACAAAAACCTTAATGTTTCCTCCCCAAAGTCGGAGAGAAAAGGGAACAAGTATGTAAGAAACAGGTAAGTAACGATGTATGAACTTTAAAACTACCAGCCTTTCTTACTAATTGATCAACAGTTTTAATTATTTTTTAGATGTTTTGTCCAATAGTCATTTAAATGAAAGGTCACTGTCTCTAGGAATCAAAAATTAATGTTCTGAAAACATTAAATTGAATTAGAAGGTATAGTGTCCTAAAGGGTCTGAAATATTTTGATTTGGAATTTGGACTATGGACAAACAGCATAACTTCAATTATTGGTTAATATTTTTATGACAAAATGTTTTTAATAACAAAATGGTGACTAAAAATACTACTACTTTAAACATGTCCTAGATTTTTTTTTGTTTCAGAAAAGCACTGAAAGTTGAATGTGTGTAAGTCTCCGGGAATGTAACAAGTTGATAAATACCCAAGTCCAGCCTCCTTACAGAGAAAAGATCTGGAATTTCTTTTTTTGGACATTTGTTTTGCAGCTTTCTACGTCTTAAGGCAGAGAATAGCCAGGATAAGGTGCCAGCTCAAAGGTTAGATGAACATATTTCTTGAAATAATTTTGGCTAATCTATGTCTTGAAAGCCATAACTTCTAAGTAATAATTTCACAAAGCTCTAAACCAAACTTAACATTAGTTGTGCTTTTGAGTTGCTTTTTTGGGAAGCCCGTATCTCTCAGAGATGTGCTTATTCTGTCCATAATTATGCTAAGTTAATTTTAATTCAGTTATTACATTAAACTTTTCCATTTCAGTTTATAATTCTTTTCTTCTGTTTTGTGAATCTATAAATTGACCTCCATTCTAACCAAAAGGACAGTTTACGTTTTTAATACTTAAAGAAGCAAATATAAAAAAGTCTACCAAATGAAATTACTAACACCAGCCTATCCTTAACCTGAGAGAATTGTATTTCATGTTCATTAATTCTCCATGGAACAATTCAGGTAAGAAATACTTTAACCGTATGAAATACATAATGCAAGCTATTATAATAGCACCAATGAGTATTCATGCTGTTGTATTGGTACTTGGAGAGTTCTTTGTTTAAAATATATTTGGCAGTGAATAATGTCCCTTAACAAATCACCACTGTGACACTTTAGCAGAAAACTTTGGTGAAACACATGAAATTCTAATATTTAATGGAACTGGTGCCAAGAAGACAGTGTGCTGTACTTTAAACTGATTGATGAAAGGTAATGATCCCATGCCATAGAATTTTAATTTAAGGTAAAGTTTTAGTAAAAAAACATTTGAGAACAAAACTGATAGTGCTAGACATAAAAGTCAAGGAATTTCTTTGTTCAGGGAGACTTAAACAAATCAAAGCAGATGTGTTTTACAGTTATTAGCAATTATAAGACTGACGAGCAGAGCGATGGCTGAGACTGGGGGGCAAAGAGAGAGTAGAATGTGACCTTGTCACTAACATACCAGAGGTTGGGTGCTGTTTTTGTGACATATTTCGTATGAGCAACCAAGCACATTTTAACTTTTCTCAACTGCAATTTCCTGTTCTTTAAACCTACTTAGCAAGATTCGTGGTGGCTGTTAAGCAGAGTGCTTCCCATAGGATGGTTCTCTATAAGTTTGCTATTACGAGTGTGGGGTCAGTATGTGGAATACAAATGGAGAGCTCCAAGCTGTGTTCTTCACTAGGGCCCATCATGGGATACATAATATAGCATGTTTTAAAATATATTTTGTTAACCATACCCATCTTTTGGAAATAATTGGGAGTAGAAAATTTCTCCAGTTTTTCCTTTCTAAAATAAAAGCTTTCCTTGGATAGCCATCTGTGCTTCTGAACCATTTATTTCCCATTTCTCTAATAATATTCATTCTCAAACCTCCACGTGAAATGGTTTTTGTTGTCTAAAAATATTTGCCCTTGGGAAAGGAACTGAAAGGAAATAGAATTGAATTGTGGTACCTTAGCTTTTAGAGTTACTGTGATCTATCAGACAGTCATTTGAGAGCTTACTAGGGGCACAGAGCTAAGGTAGGTGCTGGGAAGATTAAAAGATGAATAAAACAAAGACCATTACTTTCAAGCAGGTGGTGAGATGGCTGGCTCTTATTCCTTCTATGTTGCTAATAAGAAAGGGTTGGGGATAAAGCATTGAGGGAATTCAGGATAAGAATCATTTCCCACTTTGGGGGATCAAGGAAGACTTCACAGACTCAAGGGTGTTCAGTTGCTGCATTTATTCAATAGATGTACCCTGAGTGCTATTACCACCCGATCCTGGGCCAGCCACTGCAGATATCATGCCAGCAACATAAAACTCTAGGCATTCACATTGCCATTAGTGTTGAAGGCCCACAGATGATAATACTAGATGAAAGGCACGTTTTGATACAGGCATCTTTTGTCAAAGGATGCTGTAATAGCATATCTCAGGAGAAAGTATCCCAGAACAGAAGTGATGGAGTTGTGATGGCCCAGCTAAACCCTGGCTTAGGTCAGTCAAGGATAGGGTACCCTGAGCAGACAGAAAAATGCATTAAAACCTCAGATGCCAGAATGAGGGGCATATTCCAGGAAATGTATGAACCTCAATCCAGAGTAGGATACATAGTTGAAGAGTCTCTGATGAGAGAGGCAGTGGGAGAAGTAGAAATGGGCAACTCGTGGAAGGCCTTTAATGTCATAGAAAATATAATAGTCTTAATCTCAAAGGTGAAGCAAAACACAGAAGATTTTAAATAGGGAAATTACTTGATACTTTGGAGGTTATAAACTGGTGCTACTGGGTCAGATCTGATCTTCAATTGAATTTAGTTTTGCTCAGGAGAGTTTAGCATTTATTTTTTGAAAAATACATAGTTGCCAGTGGCATGAAAACAGAAAATATGGATATCAGGCTTTGTTGAAAAATCAGCAGCCCTGCATTGCTGCAAGGAATCTATGGGGCGGAGCTTCTGAAGAAGTAGCTGCCCCTTTTGGAAGAAGCAGGTCGTCTGTTTCACTGTGCGGCTCACTTCCAGAAAATATGAGGTTGGGGCCAATTTCTGAATTTCCTCATTGGTGATCTGGAGAATACCTATTTGAGGACCAGGACTGGAAGCCCCCTACAGACATCCTGTTGAGAAACTAGTCGTGGGGGTAGGAACAAAGAGCGGGCGTAAGGCGTAAGGCATCAGGCCCCGGTGGGGAGCGTGGACTTGGCAGACAGATCTGGTGCTGCTGCAAGCTGTGTTTTTGAGAGACTCACCTAACCTTTCTGAGCAGTAGCCACTTTTTCGAAGATAAAATGTACATGACTTCTATCAAGTAGAATTTTTTTAATGAGGATCAAATGGAAAATTTCTGAGCTGTTAGCTCAGAAACTGGCTTGTAGTAACATTTAATACAATAGTGGTGGTGGTGCCGGTGGTGCTGGTGGTGGTGGTGGTGGAGAGTGAAGAAGATGTAATCAAGGAAGACTCCCATGTTTCTAGCATGTTATTTGGTGAGCTAGAGAACACGGGAGAAGGTGCAGACGATAAATGCAATTCTGGATGTGTACAGAGGTTTGATACGTGGTTAGATTCCAGGGTGAGCTCAAATGGGATGCAGGTTTCCTTTCTGCCGTTAACCTACTCACACCCACCTTCCTACTCCTTTGTCAACCTCATTGGTGTTGGTAATTGCTTCAACCATCTCCATGGAGGGACAACTTCAAATGGTAGAATAAGAATGTGGGGAAAGGTAACACTGTGTTCTATGTCTGCTGAAATGTTAGCAGATTGTTTTAAGTTCCTGAAAAAAATTCTTTCCAGTTTACTACTTTGGCCTACAGTTGAAAGAAACTAATAATTCTACATTTGTTTATATCAAGGGCCAAAAAAAGAAAAAAGCGTCCTCTCCATTCTATCTTTTTCAAAACTCTTTGGTTGGCTTTTTCTGTTTTACATTAGTATCAGTCCTAATTCCAAGCAAATATTTGACTAGAAGTGAATGACCATATATATGTTTTCTTTGTATTTTCTCCTAACTCAATATTGAAAATCACTTCTGACTTAAGTCTTAGCTCAAATGCCACATTCTCTTCTATCCCTCCCTGACTTTCATTGCAGGAAATATCTTTCTTCTCTACATTTTATTGTAACATGTGTATGGAATCTGTATCATTTATTCTGTTAGACTGTTAGTTCCATGAAGACAGGGACTGTGCCTTATAGACCTTTATACCCAAGGCGATAGGTTTTTCACATGGTGCTCACTTTCTTGAGTTATTTGAAAAGGTAAGGGCTAAGTATTTCTATGAAAAAGGATTTAAACAGATGAACAAGATGTAATCTTAATAAACAGAGTGTAGTTTTCAAGAAAAAACATTTACTAGCCAAATGAATATGTTGGGTGGCGCCTGTGGCTCAGTGGGTAGGGTGCCGGCCCCATATACCGAGAGTAGCAGGTTCAAACCCGGCCCCGGCCAAACTGCAACAAAAAAATAGTTGGGCATTGTAGCAGGCGCCTGTGGTCCCAGCTACTTGGGAGGCTGAGGCAAGAGAATCACCTAAGCCCCGGAGTTGGAGGTTGCTGTGAGCTGTGACACCATGGCACTCTACCAAGGGTGATAAAGTAAGACTCTCTCTATTAAAAAAAAAAGAGAGAGAGAGAGATGAATATGTTTAGTTTGCCTATCTTATGACATTATTACATATCATGGATCTTAATTCTTGCTTAAGATTCTGAAAAGAAGTCAATTTATGGGTTTGAAAACACATAAATGTAATCTGATTATAATCTGTAATCTGATTGTGTCATCTAGTGCTTACAATCCATTGATTGTTCACAATTATGAATTGAATCTCTTAATTCTTTGAATACAGGGCTCTTTAGGCTGACAGTTGCCTTCTCTTTGAAGGCCTAGTTTTTGCTCTGTGGACCCAGTCACAACGGACCACCCTCACATTTCCAAGCCCTCTGTTGCTTCATGACTCCCTTGCTTTTCGTATGCCACTAGTCTGAGTAAAAGGCCCTTCACACATCCACATGGCGAGTTCCTACTCATCCTTTAGTAATCAGCTCACATTTCCTCTTGAAAGCTTTTCCTGGCTTCTTTCCTACACCTGCCTCCCTGCAGAGAAATCCCTCCCTCTGTCTTCTTTTAACATCGTGTACACCTGTCCTGTCTGTCTTTATCAGGAGACTCCACACTATTTCAGAGCAGTTACTCTGTTTTTAAAGAGCTCTAAGTCTAGTGGGCAAGCTAAATAAGAGAAATAACTATAAAAATGGAGAGTAAAATATGTATATGTAAACATACACATAATTTATGATAAAAGTATGCTGCACCGAGGCTTATAAAAACAGGAAGGCTACAAACTCAGCATGAGGGGCATCAGCATCTTGGAGATGGTCATGGTTAAACTGTGCGTCAACGCCTGTCCAGATGTCAGTCCAGCAGACAGCGGGAAGAGTGGCATCATGTGTGACAATGTGGAGGTATTAGAGGGTATGTTATTTCCTGGCGACTGAAATTAGTATGTATTTGTGGATGTGGTTGGAGATGAGTCTGGGGAGATAGGCAGGCATCAAAT